AAAGCTTAAACCTAGAGAGTGCAACAGCGGTAATTGCCCGCGATGTGCAGAGTACGCTCGCACTGCGTTCAATTGCAAAATTGTTGTTGTTGTTGTTGTTGCTGTTGTTGCTGTTGTTGCTGTTGTTGTTGTTGTTAATTACTCTGGACTGGGGTGTTCTGCAGCAATGCATCGCCAGCATTTGTGCAGGAGAGGCTGGTTGGCAGCCGTGAGGGTGTGTGCAACGTGGCGAAAAGGAGAAAAGGATCAGTGTTTTGCGCGGCACCGCCACTTAGTGGCGCATGTTTTCCAGCTTGGAGCAGGGATCCTTCGTGAGCCTGGCCTTCCCAGCTTTTGGGGATTCTATGGATTGTCGGCCCGGCTTTTGGGGGCACGAGGTTTCAACTTGTTTCAGGCATTGGGTCTCGGAGTCTCGGATCAGCGTGTGAACTATGCTTCGAGACCCGACGTGTTGAACTCAGACTGAGGGGTGCTATCGGGTAGCAAGGTGAGAAGAGCCCAGACAATGACCAAACAAGGGAAAAAGGGAAGTGCCTAAACAATGTTGCAGCGTGTGCCATGTTCGCTGAAGCATGGAAAGCAGATGTAGGTTGTTGTAACTGATGTGTTTGCTTCTTCCCCAGAGCATGTGCCCTAGCTTTGGTGTGATTAAACGTTGTTGTGCATGCTACATGTGGCATATATAACATGAGGTGTGCTTGTCATGGGCTGGCGATGTTGTGCTAAGAACGCGTTCGCGCGAGGGTTCTCGCAACTCGGCCTGGTTGGCATTGACGGCCCTCCTCATACGGGAAGCTGCGTCACCGCATGGGCCACGCATTCGTGGATCCCGAACCTTCAATGGGCTCGGGCTGTGGGCAGGTTGCTCCACAGTTCTACGGGGACTGCGCGCAGGCGGATTTTCAGGCCTCTGTCCCAGACAGGACTCTTTCCTGCTTCTCGCATGCTCGGAAGATACATACGTTGCGCAGGATCTGCAGCCTCTTGCCTCAACCCGAGCTTTCCAAGCTTTCCACAAGCTTTGCTATCTGAAGACATTGGAGCTCCGCACGGTAGCTCCATTCACTCTCCAGGCTCCTCAAGCCCAACTCAAATCAAAGGAACCCTTGAGAAATCCCGGACTCCCGAGCTGGGCCAGGCCTTCAAAACCCGAGCGGCTGCATGGTACGAGAAGCGGCTCGCGAGTCTTCAGCTCTTCCATGACTGCTTTGTTCCTTGCTATGTTTTTTTGGTCGGGCATTGTGGGGCTGGGTATCAGGCCGTGCGGCTTTTGTTGGTTTAGGAGGGAGGGTTGTGTTCTCGTTGGGCTGAGAGAGTTAGAGTGCTGTTGATTCGGAGCTGACAGACCTCTGAGTCCGCGGGAGGGAGAGACAGAGAGAGCAAGAGTAGATTTTGTTCAGCATGCTCAGATTCATACCCAGGGAAGGAAAAAAGAAGCACCAAGTTTTTAGGCGTCCGATTACATGAGTGGGTTGTGGGATGAGCTTCAAGTTTCGGCTGCGGTTTGGTGGCACGCGGCTCGAGTAATTTTCGGGTATCGCTGAGGCAGGTTGCGTGCTCAGAGACCCGAGCTGAGGGAACATTGTTGATACCGTACCAGACGAGTTGAGCGGAGTGGGGACTGCACTTGCCGTGTTGTTTGCTTGTGCTGTTGTGTGTGTGTGTGTGTGAGTGAATGGGGTGTTCAGTATGCAGGTGCATTCGTGCATTTGTCAATGCGCACGGCTCGTCGGCAGACGTTGGTAATTGCAGAAGTTGCTTGTCGAAGTCCGAGTTGTGCCGCCAAATCCAAGCCTACATTGCTTGAGGGCGAACCTGCCGGTCCTAAATAATAGGGCACTAACTCAGCAGAACACCCTGCATGAGTCTGCCTGTGTCCTGTAGAATAGGCTTCCGGTCAGCAATGCACCAGTGGACTTGCCCCGGAACTTGGAAGGACATGACGCTCCTCATAAACAACTTTGAGACTGCATACATGAATTGTCCTGCCGCGGCTGTACTTGCAGCGACGAAGCTGCAAGTGAGTGACATCGGGTGCTTTGGATACCCAGGCAGCTGTGTAGAGCGTTCGGCGGGTGAATAGTTGGACTTGGTGTCAAGAGCTCCATGTGCAAGAGCCGGGCTGTTTGCGCGTTTTGCGAATGTTCGCTGTGCTTTTCACATGCTGAAGCGGGCAGAGCCACCCAGTCAATCGCGTTTTAAAGCCTGGCAACAGAACTCCATTCAGCAACCGGAGAGCAGCAATCAACACCAGCTGCAGAAGCAGCAACCACGACAAGGACAACTGTAGCAGCAACAACAACAACAAAAACGACCACAACAAGAAGCGTGGTCCCGAATAAGTATGCCATGCCAGCCTCGTCCGAGTGTGTGAGTCGAAACCCGAATGACTGCCTCGCCTAGATTGTCCGAGTGTGAGCGCCGAAACCCGAACAACCCCACCGACGACACAGCTGCCAACACAACCCTTCTCGCACGAGCCACAAACAGCGCCTCACCAAAAAAGAAGCCATCCCAACAGAGGTGGTGAGCAGCACACCTGCGATTTGACGCCAGGGAGACTCCATACACAAGCTCGCCTCGTTTGATTATTGTGCAACAACCTTCAGCTGTACACGAGGTTCTGCTCAAACTGGAATCTGCCTACTTCGAAGAAGCGGAGAAGTGGGATGCATTGCTGGAGTTTCTTGGATTCAGGTGAGCAGTTTGGAGCGGGGAAATCCTGTCCACAGCTTGATCTGAAAAGCCCCGCGAACACTGAGACAACTTCTAGTTTCGCGAGTTGCCCACCCAGGATTTACATCAGCACGTTGAACCGGGCTCTGGCGGAAGGACCCGGTGCCGACCATACATCCTGCTCGATGTCGCAAGTAGACGAACTTGGAGACCTTTCCGAGCTCGAGTCTGCAGACAGAAGTGCCTTCTGCAGCTCTCGAATTGCACAGTCGTGGCGCATGCGTAGTGTTTCCTTGCTCCAAGCAGTCAGGCGGAGGCATCTGGAAGCGAAGCGTTGGGATCCGTGAGTCAGACGGTCGAGAGCAAATGATTGTAGTCGTCCCAATACATCTGCAGCATTTTGCTCACGAGCTTTCTGGGCTGTTTCGCGCGAAAACCAGCACTTGGAAGCGCTCCGAGCTCTTGAGGCACTGGTTAGTGTCCGAGGTTCTGGTTTCAATCAAAGTTTATGGTTTACCCCACGACAGAATCCTGGGAATGATGGCATCCACCGTAACGACGTTCACTTGAACGATGCGTCAGGCCTAGGGAGCTGAACGAGGCCAGGGCAGGTGAGCAAAGACGTCTCGGCGCGATTTCGGGAGCCTACAGGCGACGGTCAACTGAAACATCGACAGACTTCCGCAGCTCGTACATGGCACGTGCCAGTCGAAACACAAGCTTTTCTTGCCGGGCCAAGCTCACAATGCCCTTGCTCTGCAGCTTCTGTGCTGATCAACCCTTAGCCTTAGTCTTGCTGCAAGTTTGAATTTAGTCTTAAGGGCCGTCTTACTAAAGTCACGGCAGCTGAGTGCTACAAGGGAGTCGGCATTAATTTTCGGGCCTTCTTTTCGCGTGCCCAACATTGCAACCGATCGCCACAGCAACATGACAGGAATGACGTGTTCATTGACAGCATACACGCGCATGGCCACCATGTTTGCCAACCTGCCGATAACAGGCCATGTCCCGCTCCTTCGTTGTCCTTGCAGTGGCATTTGCTACCAGCCACTCGGCCTGCAATCGTGAACCTCTAATGCCTGATCTACGCGCCAAGATGTTTTGCCCTGACCCGGCGATCACCCTGCTGTGCACGTTCTAGGGGGCGAACTTGTGGCACCAGGAATCTGGGCATGACAACGGATTGATGAGATCCCGAACTGAGGGAAATTCAAAAGGGAAAGCATTCATCTACCCGCTGCCTGGGTGTCTGCAAGGGTTGTGTTGGAGGCCTAGCATCGGGGACGACGAACGGTGGGAGCCGGACCCGACAAGCAGAGGCTTCCTCCTGCCCTTGAACTTCGTCTTGCCGGTGGTACCCCGCTTCGCGCCGTCGCTGTCCCACGTGGCCTTGCAAGAGAAGGCATGCTTCAGTTGATGAAGGGCTGGCGGCTTCTTGCGTGGTGATGATTACCTGCGCCATCTTGCGCCAGCAGACTCCACGTGGCCATCATAAAATGACAAGTGTGGTTGTGAAAGTCGCTGCAGTGGCTGTTGTAGTTGCCATGGTCGTCGTCGTCGTCGTCGCTTTGCTGGCGCTGGTGCTGATGGCATCTGGTGGCGGCCTCGTCGTCCGTCGTCGTCGTCGTCGTCGTCTTCGCTGTTGTCTTTCTCATATCCGTGGTAGTGGTGGCTAGGCCAAGTGCCAAGTCTTCATACATACCGATATCTTAGCAGGTCCCACGCAGGAGACTTGATGTTACCCACGCAAGTACTAGTTACTAGTTTTTGTATGAGAACTACTACTAGTACCAGTAGTAACGGTAATACTGATAGTTTGTTGGCAATGGTAGTGGTAATGTAGTGGGACGATAATGAAAATCGGAATCGCACTTATTCGTATGAGCAAAGCGCATGATAATAGTAACAATAGTATGACCCGAAGCATGTGAAGCAAAAGCCGAGCCGTTGCAGGCCAACGAAAAGCAAGGACCCCAGGACCGACGCTGGTGACTCGAAGTCCAACTTAAGTAGGCTTGTTTAGCAAGAGGTCCTCGCAGTAACAACGATGCGTCAGAGATTTCGCATGTCATTGCTTCGGTGCACGCACCGCTCCCGATCCTTGTTGATCAGAGTCAGAGTACAGGTGTCCGAGAACATCACCCGAACCCCGACCAGACATTGGCTTCCTTCGAAGCTGGATGCCTTTCCGCCCTCAATGCCCAGGAATCCAGGAATCATAAAATATTGCTTCAAAAATTTAATCCATGATGCAAATAATTACGAAGGAAGCGCTGCTTACAACTCATCGTGTGTTTTGCACTGGATCCTGAAGGAGCTCGTCGCCCCTGTGCCTGCGACATTGATTGCTATGCTGGCCGGGCTCATGATTGGACTCTTTGCCATGCCGAAGGACCCGATGGCAACCGCAGAAGGCCAGAAGCAAATAGAGCCAACAGCGGAAGCAGAAAGTTGTCATCTTCCTGACAGAGATTTTCGGCATTTCTCCGTTTTACGGTGCCGAACTCCAGCAAGTGTAGGCTTTAGGCTTCTGTGCAAATCATGAGCGACGCCTGCCTGCGCAGGACGTAGATGCAGTTCCACACCCCCGCCCGGACTTCCAGGCGCCGAGCTTTGGGGTTTTCGCGCCTTTATCGATGCTGTGCGTTTTCCGGATTTCGTTGCCAGAGTGTCCCCAACCCTGGGCTGATGAACTCTGAGTTGCAGCTACATGCACCGGAGCATCCCTTCAATGGGCGGGATTCAGTAAATTCTGAAGCCGCTTCTAAAACCTGTGAGGGTGGCACTTCGCCGGCCGGATGCTGTTCAATATCTCTGAGTTCATTCATTTCTTGACAACGCGAGCCGCTAGCAGCTAGCACGTGATGGCATGGATTTGCGGACCGATGCCGGGAAAGCCTTCACGATCAAGCGACCGTGAAGCCTGCAGTGGAGACGAAATGGGTTTTTGATGTCAAGCACACCCCGATGCTAGGCTGAAACTGTGTTTGAGCTGCCGCTTGCACTGCAGAGAGCTGAACCGTCGGCATCCTTGTGGACAGTTGGAGCGGCCCGGCTACATGCAGGGCATTGACGCTGCCAACGCTGCCTGGAGGCCTCTTTGGGGAAATCTGGTCCGGGGCGCAGCCGTCAGATTTGGCTTCAAACTTCCGTCAGCTCAACCACAATGTATCGCAGGACTCTTCGCCCATCTTCAGCCTGCGTTGTCATATGTTCTGGATGATCTCATTTTAGGTGGAAGATCCTGGAGGGCTGGGGGCAAGAAGTTGCTGCTGCTGTTGCTGCGTTGTTTGCATGGTGTGGTCTTTGTCTGATGAACGTGGCAAGCCGAAGTCCCGCCTCAGCCTTTGGAACACATGTAGTAAATTAGATATTGGATCCTGAATCATCCACTCAACGGTGTGCAGCAGAAGGCATTAGGGCACCACAGGTGTAGTATGTTGCCAGAGATCTATCTGGAGACGTAGCAAGGTTACGTAAGCTTGATCCCTAAAACCCTCGGAGAAATCTTTCGTAATGTTTCGTGTGGCTGCAGAATCAGTCATCAGCTCTGAATGTCTCCCGCTTTTCCACCTGGATATCCGACTGGCAGGCACTTGCCCGGCCAGTCACCTGGATGCCTGAACCTTCATGTCCTGTCTGCTTGTATCCCCCGTTCGCATGTATCGCAACAGTCAAGACCTTGGCAGCCCTGACAAGACTCAGCTCCTCAAGTCTTTGGAACTTGTGAAGTGCTCAGGGCTGCAGCATTGCCTGAGAAGAAACACCCCGAATGGGGCTGCTCCAGTGCATTTACCTGGACACGATTTTCTTGGCAACTAGTGGACCGAAAAGACTCATGTCCTGATAGTTTCAACCCGGCCCTGATCTCACCGGCTCCAATTCTGATCGGTTTTCCCTCGTGCCAGGCCTGGTGAGATCGACTTTGTGACACGATCCCGCTTGGAAGCAGCGCAGTTCCCAAAGGCCCTCAAGGACGCGGAAATCATGTTTCGGACATGGAAGAGGTTCGGGAGCACTGTGCGGGCCCAGGAGCGAATCGGGAGAATCCCCCCAGAAGCAAGATCTACGAAATCTACGACAGCTGATCATTTTTCCGACCCATAAACTATAGTCCCAAGAGCCCACGAGCCGTACATTGAGTAGAGTCCGACGAGTTGAGAACCTGTGAGGAGCTCGAACATGAGCAGGAGATCCTGGCCAAGGCTCCAACCAAGGCGGAGCGCCTGGCAAAAGCCTTTTCGGCTGCAATAACTCTGTCTCTGTCTGTGTGTGTGTG